TTCTTGTGAAGTGCCAATCTTTAATTTTTGCCTTCTGCTCGATGCTGCACCACCCGGGATGGGTGCCGATCTGATGACAGATTCAAAGAAAAGCTGGGTGGTAATAGTTCGATCGAAGAGCTGGATTTCCGGAAGTGTTATCTCTACTTAGAAGGAAGTGGATCTTAAGTGCTTCGTCCCCATTTCGAGCATGGCCCTGCCAAATTTTGGTGCTATGGAATCTTCGCTGCAGTCTGCAGAGATCCCGAGAAAGAGCGTTCTTTCTGTAGCCCATCATCGTCGCAGAAAAACCATAGCGGAAACCCGATTCTGAGATATTTGTAGTACTACTCACAATATTTATTTTCTCGTGATACATAGTGACAACAGGCGGAATGTGATCGTACATATTGCCACACCATCAAGGGTTTGTCCCAACAGGGAGAGAAGTCCCCAACAGGGCATCATGCATCAATTTAATTTAATCTGATTTAATGTTTCATTAGTTAAGGGGGTCGCTGCAATGTCAAGTATGAACTCCCACGTTTGAGTGTGGTCTTCCAAAGCTCTACCCACTCTTAGGTTTCTGAATATTTGTCCTCACTCATAACACATAACAAAAGTAGTACATGTGTAGACCCCAGGTCCATTTTCAAGGGTTGGCTTAGGAAGTTCCTGACCGCAATACCGATTCTTCGTGTCGATCAAAACTTTGCTTTCGTACTCGACATAAAAAAGTTTTACTATTCAGAGAGGCCTTGGAACGAAATTTGTTTATTTATTTTGGGTTAGCCTCACGGAGGAAACCACATTCTGTCGCATCTCTTTTCACATACCTTAAAGGAAGATTTTACGATGAAAAAGCAACCCATTTCAAATTAAGTTAAGGATGGTGAGTGGTACACGAAAGAAGGAAAAACCATGAGAAATGGGACCCCTTCCTTGCCCGTTGATTTGAGCATTGATGCGACTCTCATCGCTGTGCCCTCTTCAACGCTAACGCTCTCTCTGCTATCTAATCACTCGCCACGTATAGACCTAGACCTGTAGCGAGTGATTAGATAGATAGAGTTCCAATGGACGCTCAAGTGCGCCAAGAGTGAGCCATGCTACATCGCCGAGGTGACATCTTTCGCTGCCAACTGTCCGTCAGGAGGTCCGCCTGTCTTCCCTCTAGGTTTACGCTCCTTCGACCTTCGTGGTTATTCTTCCTTCGTGAAATCCTCCTTTAAAGCATGTATCAGGATCAGATGCAAAGAAGTAGTCCCTTCTAGAGTTGGAAAGAGGGGTCCATACGCAACGCAGCACTGACGCAACTCAAAAGTGAGAGGCAACAGTGCTAAGCGTTTGGCTTGTGAGCTGACATCCTTATCAGTGCATTCGTGGTGTCTGCGCCCTCTCGCATACGTGTTGTCTTGCGCCTTCCCCTCCGCGCAGCGCTGTGCCTCCTCCTCCGTCGTACCACGGCCGACCTCGCAAGGGAAAGTTCAGTGTTTTCTATAGCACTGTATGCATTTTCCCCACATGTTGTTCCCACTGCACTACTTCTTGTGATTTCAAACATTTCAAACAAAATAGCACACCGATTCCATGACTTGAAAATCCCACGGATATGTGACCCACCATTTTTGCATAATATTCCCCACTTTTTGTTTTCGGTTTTTGCTTGACATCGATTACAAACAAGTTTTTTATTCTGAAAAAAAGAATGCTCAAAAAATGAGTTAGGCAAGGAACAACAAAGAAACAGCATCAAACCAGCAACATGCTAGTATCATGGCGTTCACATCGCCAAAAAGCAAGTTCCTTCGAGCAAAATTATTCAGTGATTCTGGGATTTTACAATGTTTCTCCTTCACCAACAAGTTTTGAGTTGAGTGGATTGCCACGAATTATTCTAGGGAAAATTCAGAAAAATGTGGCGCGGCCGTGAAACTCATCCATCATCATGATTGAATCTCTTCACCCTTTTTGTTATAGCAGATGATAATTTTTACGCAACTAATCGCTAAGTGTGTCGGTCAGTGGCGGAAAGTTACTCTGTGTTCCCGAATACGCGTTCTCGTGACCCAGAATACTCGATTTCGTTGGTACCGCGTTGACCCATTTCATTCGCTATAAATGAAATTACGGAAATGAGAACGTTTGAACCTGATCCCCATTTCTTTCAAGGTGACTACTTCGCGACTGTGACATCATTAAGATTTCATTTGCGAAGTGAAACATTAATAGCCGCTTTGACGTTTCGTATGGCCGCTTTCTTTCTCAAATCATCCTTCACTTTATGTTGAGTAAATCAAGAGTAAATTATGAAATATTTTCACGTTTTCACTTTTTTACGAGATGCTGTTTGGAAATTCCAGAGCCTGAAGTCTCGTGGGCGAAAATTGCTGTGTAAACATAGTGTAATCATTGCAGTTTCACACAGGTCTTTCAAAAAAAACGTTCAATCTTTTCACTGCATTTCACATTATCTATGATTGCTAAGAAAGCGCCTTTCAATTTAAAATTGCTTGGGAAGCATTAGAATTTGCGATTTTATGGAATCTCCTTGTCACCTGTGAGAATTCTTTCGTTCACTCGGCATGCACTTCCTAACTCAACCTAACCTAACCTTATGTCACCGTCGCAAAATAGCAAGCAGCAAAATCAGTACACCAGTAAGGGGCGGGTTGTGTCAGATGGGTGGGCCTTGGAATTTGATCCGCAATTTTTATTCGCTGTAAGGTGATTTGATCTGGTATGTGCTGTTCGGAAGCAGCGAACCAACCCTTTCTGCAGAATTGATCCAGATTTAGCGAAAACTCGAGGAACAAGAATTTACAAACAGTGACATGGAAAACCGTTCGCTATTCGAGCTGTCCCCTGTTGCTTAGAACTCGATCGATTGCTATGATTTTTAGAAGGGAGGTTTTGTTGCAGCCATGAGCGTCGGCTCACAGCAGGTTTACCATCGAATTGGAC